TAACGGTCAGAATTCCCGATGGTGGCCCGCAAGTGCTTCTTGAAGGATTTAACTGCCGCCTCCCACAAGCCACCAAAGTTCGGGCTACGTCGTCTGCACAGTGGTTGATCACTGCTGCTTGGTGTTGTTGGCCGTAGAATTGCCTTCGTAGTTTTACCAATTCTTTCGCTGCTCCCTTGAAGTTCTTGGCGTTATCGCATTCGATGAGCTTCGGCGTCCCTCTGCGAGCGGTAAATCGATGAAGTACAGCCAGGAACGCGGCCGTGCTAAGGTCGTAGACGAACTCTACATGGGTAGCTTTTGTGATAAGGCACACGAAAATAGCTACGTAGCATTTGACCGCAGATGCTCGCGGTATCTTGCGATACTGGAACGGTCCGCACAGGTCAACTCCAGTGTTGAGGAATGGCAGCGTTGGTGTGACTCGCTCAGGTGGGAGATCACCCATTAACTGCTAGAGGTTGTTGGGCTTGCAGCGGTAGCAATTCACACAGGAATGCACCACCTTCCGTGCCAGGTTACGGATACGAAGTGGCCAAAACTTTTCTCGGACACAAGCGACGAGCAGTTGCGGCCCTGCGTGGAGATGTTTTTCGTGGTAGTGGACCAATATTCGTTCTGTGAGCGTGTGACGAGCGGGCAGGATCATTGGGTGTTTTCTGTCTTCCAAAATGGCTGGATGTCCACCCACACGCAGGATCCCGTCGATCAGAATTGGTGAAAGGTTTTTGAGCTCGGAGCGAGACCTAACATGTCCACTGGTGCTGATTTCAGACAACTCTCGGGCAAATGATTCTTGCTGAGCGATCCGAACGAGAAACTGTGTAGTGTCATTCAGCTCGAACGTGGGCGATGTTTGGTAGATTGTCAGGAATTGGTTGATTGATCGGTGGCCAGAAGCGAGATGTTTGATTCAGCCACTGAGGTCCAATCCACCAGGCAGGTGTATTTCTCAGGTCCGCAAGACTCATACTACGTGAAATAATGTCCGCTGGATTCTCGGAGCCAGGAACATGTGACCAGATACCTCCAGCGGTAAGACGCTGGATCTCCGACACACGATTGGCGATGAACTTCTTCCATCGAGCAGGTGGTGAACGAATCTGGCAAAGCACTATCATGGAGTCTGTCCAGAAGAAGGGCTTTGTCTTCAGGTTTTTGCTCAAACTGACCTTGTCGTACAGATGAGCCAAAAGAAGTGCCGATGAGAGCTCTAGCAACGGCAGGGTGAGCAGAACCGAGTTCTTCGACTTTCCGCTAGGTGCTAATCTCGATTTGGCACACAGAAGTCTGACGGATATGCTTCCGTCGATAGATACGGTCCGCAAGTAGACGCAGGCACCGTATGCGCGTTCAGATGCGTCGCAGAATCCGTGTAACTTGACGAGGACAGGATCTCGTGCGAACGCGGCCCATCGTGGGATGGATATCAGTGGCAAGTCGATTAAGCTGTCGCGCCATTCCCGCCCATATTACTGTTGCTTGGGTGTTAGTGGTTCGTCCCACGAAGTAGTAGTCTGCCAACGTGATTGTACGAAGATTTTGGCCAGAACTACGACAGGACCGAGCATTCCAAGAGGAAGAAACAGTTTGGCAAGATCAGAGGCTAAGATACGGCGAGTAATTACAGTTTCAGTTGACCATTCAGGAACTGCATACCCGAGCAAAGTCGGTTAATGAAAGCAAATCGATATTAAAGTGTGCAGTTCCTATCATAATGAAAACTCATTTTGATTTCAAATGTTGTGACATAAGTCTGATATCATATTGTGCTTTCATTATGCAGTCAAGACTTTTTAAATGAAAGCAACTTAACTTGAAGTTCTGCTGTTTACGTCTTGTTTAAAATTTAATTGAAATTCATCTGTCGTTGAACTAATGATTATTGTTTATTTGATATGTTTAACACATTTTAGGTCAATCGTGACTTGCCCGGGGTGAGATTGGAGCCCAAGTCTTTCAACTTGAGAAACATGAATTGTAACTATTTACTCCAGGCCCGTATTCAGTTGAACATTATGAATGCCATCGAGTAGCCAAAAACGGGGCTGACGCAATACCATAGGTGACTGTTATGAGTTCGTAGGTGCGTATCAGTTCTGACAACGATCTGCGCCAGAGGATACGCTGGAGTGGGTAGTCCAAAAGATGAATGAGAAGTTGACGGTACATCATTCGAAATCTGCAATTAGGGCAAAACGATTCATACGAAAGCGAAGGTGTATGGCTAAGATGCCATCCTGGACAACTGGTCCAACCATCAGTGCCTGGTTCAGCGAAACTCCACTGTCCGTCCGACAGGAGCCGTCGAATACGACGCGTAGTTTTGTGGTTGTGCTGTCCGCTTTCTCTACTCCGTGATGTGGTAGGTAGTAGGACGGGACAGCAGGTGAACTTGTGGAATCGTTGACTTCTCGCATGTGACCCAGCTGAAGATACTCATCGATAAAGTTGGTGTAAGCTTGCTTCAGCGGAGGATTTGCATCGAGACGACGTTCTAAGGCGAGAAATCTTCTAGTGGCAATCTGCTTCAAATCTCCGAGTTGAGACAGAATAGATGTATGCTTGGGGAGGGTGACTACGAACCGTTCCGAATCATCCCGGTATGTGTTTGCGATAAAATGTTCTTCACATGCGACTTCCTCCGCAGACTGGGTACTTGCTGACCAACATGACTCGACTTCCCAGAAACGAGTGATTAGTGAATCGAGAGACTCTTCACTGCATACGTGGGCTACCTTCGGAGCTGAGTCGCACTGTCCGGAACCTATTTTGCCTGACGCTACCCAACCGAAGACGGTGTTTTGGAGGATCGGCTTTTCAGGGCCCAGCTTCGCGAATCCATCTAGCAGCAAGTCGTAGTATAGTTCCATGCCGAGGAGTATATCGATAGAGCTCGGCACAAAGAACTTCAGGTATGCTAGGACAACGTTTGGTGGAAGTTGCAATGTAGAGGTATCAAGAGTTCTAGTAGGAAGATCTTGGGTGATATTTTTCAAGATGTGAAACGATTGAACAGCCTTGAAGTCCGTACAGTGAGACCCCATCTGAACGTGAACAGCGTAAGACGAAACGATTACAGAGTTGACTATACCCCCAATCTCCTGAAGACAGTGGTAGCGGCGCAACTTCAGTCTTTGGACGATGTTCTCGGTGATCAGGTTCAACTGCGACGCTGGATCTAGCAGGGCTCTGGCTCACTGGGGTTGTCCATTCGAAGCGAACACCTTGATGATTGCCGTCAGCACAGCAGCACAGTAGCAGGAACAGAAGGAGTTCCGATAACGTTGGTGGGCACAAGGCTAGTGGCAGAGGGCTGTTGGGATCCAGACGATGATGACGACGATGGCGAGTGAGTTTGCGAGAAAGACGTTTTGTTAGTAGGAGTAGATGCATGATCAATCGATGGTTGATGGAGCATAGTGTGATGCCTTTGGTGACACTTGTCTACTCGGCATGTACCAGATGAACATTTGCGGACCATGTGCACCTTTCCGGGCTTTCGTGGATTTTCGACTGCATTCAACGGCAAATACCAGACATCCCTACTGGATGTTTTTGTAAGTTCAGCTTCGGTTGCCTTGTGCACGTAGCCCTTGGTCTGGTAATCAGCGATCTACTGACATACATTCTGCTTCACCGTTGGATTATTTTCCAGCTTTAAAAGCCTTCATCCTATCAAGCCTATCAGAGAAACAACGCTTGTCCTCACACCTTAAAACCCCGGTTTCAAAATGCTTCGTTGTCTGACACCTCCAGCTGTAGCTGAGTGTTTACCGACTGTGCTAAGGGAGGCCTCCAAGAACTGCCCTTGGAATTCAAATTGGATTTTTTTTTCTAAATCCCTTGAATTTCTCCTGATAATTCCCACGATTCTTTGGAACCCTTCTTAGAATTCTTTTGGAATTTGCATTTAATCTTCCTTAAAACGATTCTCAGAATTCCTTCGGAGCTAACTTCATGTTTTGATTCATTTGAAAGTTTCCTCAGTACTTGCACATTACCGTAATTCCAAACCTCACTCATTCGTCAACAAGACGGATGTTTAAGGCACAGACAAACAGACATAACACATTGAACATTACATCATTTCTCACTGTAAAACATCGTCGCTAAAACACTACCGCCATCTGCTGAGTACCCTGTGTTGGGCAGTGTGCTCAACATATGGCGATAGTGTATAAACATCAAACGCAAGGGATTTGATTATGTGCGCCACAAGTAGCGGTACTACTAACTAAGAAACATTTAAATTGGCTGTTAAATGCGTGTTCGAAGAACAACTTACAACAACAACTCGTAGTTCACCTCAAAATTAACTTGAAATTCTATTCAGAATTATGTTAAAATAATTCTCAGAATATCCCCTTAATTTTCACTAGAATACCTGCTAAGATCTTGTTAACCGAATTCTCTAGAAAATAATTTAAATCATCAGAATCCTGAAAATTCTTTCAAGTCCAGAAAATTTCTCTTCAGTCCAGATATTTGCTAGTCCGTACTCTTGAAACAAATGTCCAAGTCTAAAATTTTCTAAATTTCCTGAGTGTAAAAGGAGTAGGGTTGTTTACCGTTCATATTTTTAATCTCAAAATTCGAGAGCTCATGGACACCATTACCGACCCGATTATCTAAATTACAGGAATCCGGATGCTCGATACCGTCTGAAATGCAGACGACAGATGCTCCAAGGGTATCTCGAGGTGAATGGATGTGTCCCATGGCTTAGTTTTGGGTTGAATAGGGAAATTGCTCTAATGTTGGCCTATGGATCAAATATATTGGGCCCATCGCTAAAAATCAGCTATTTATCAATTTTATCTAGTTGAACGCGTACGAATGCATATTTTTGGTCGCTATTGAAAATTTAGTCGATTGCTGAATTTATGTATGGGCCCAAATTAGGGACACTTAGGCCGACATTACATACATTTCCCCTATATATGAAATTTGCATCTGCCTATCCAACCTCTCCTCTAATCAACTTTCCTCTATTACAGGTGCTTTCCTCGTTCCTTACTGTGTGATGCTGTTGGTCGGCGGCATTCCTCTCTTCTACATGGAACTGGCTCTGGGTCAGTTTAACCGAAAAGGTGCCATCACCTGCTGGGGTCGGCTAGTTCCTCTTTTCAAAGGTAGCTTCATCTCAATTCATCTAGAACCAAACTAATTTCTTTTTCATCCCTTTAGGTATCGGTTACGCGGTCGTACTGATCGCCTTCTACGTGGACTTCTACTACAACGTAATCATCGCGTGGTCGCTGAGGTTCTTCTTTGCTTCGTTCGCCAGTCAGCTTCCGTGGACGCTGTGTAACAACGAATGGAACACGATCTTTTGCAAGCCGTTTGAAGTTGGTGGTCCAAACAAGACTGCGACAGCGGCAATTGCAGCTGTTAATGGAACACTGGCCAACGTCACCGTTGCGGTGTCCAACGAAACGGTCAAATTTGCCTCGGCAGCGTCGGAGTACTTCAAGTATTGTGTGATGTGGCTTGAGACCGTAGTAACGATGATTTAACGAGATCCTATTTATTCCCACAGTCGCTACATCCTGGAACTGGACAAAAGTGCTGGCATCCACGATCTGGGTACCATCAAGTGGGACATGGTCCTATGTTTGCTGGCCGTGTACCTGATTTGCTATTTTTCACTGTGGAAAGGAATCAGTACCTCCGGGAAGGTCGTTTGGTTTACGGCTCTGTTTCCGTACGCGGTGCTGTTGATTTTACTGGTTCGTGGTATTACCCTACCGGGATCGGCTGATGGTATCAAATACTACTTGAGTCCCCGGTTTGACATGATTGAAAAACCGGAAGTGTGGGTCGACGCGGCAACTCAGGTGTTCTTTTCGCTGGGACCTGGATTCGGTGTGCTGCTGGCGTACGCCTCGTACAACAAGTACCATAATAATGTTTACAAGTAAGTGTGACGGTGGAGGTGCTATGTAGTCATTGAGGGACTGAATTTATCGTTGACCATTGACCAATAGGGACGCCATCCTGACCAGTTGCATCAACTCGGCAACCAGCTTCGTTGCTGGATTCGTGATCTTTTCGGTGCTGGGCTACATGGCACACTCCAGTGGACAGGATATCAAAGACGTCGCAACGGAAGGACCCGGTCTGGTGTTTGTTGTGTACCCAGCTGCGATTGCCACCATGCCGGGCAGCATTTTCTGGGCGTTGATTTTCTTCATGATGCTGCTGACGCTTGGACTGGATAGTTCGGTTAGTTATGAAGCTATGAGTAATTGGTTTGAATCAAACGAGTTCATCTTTGCAGTTTGGAGGATCGGAAGCAATCATCACGGCACTGAGTGATGAGTTCCCGAAGATTGGCCGCAATCGGGAGATATTTGTGGCATGTCTGTTTTCGTTGTACTTCGTCGTCGGGCTGGCCAGCTGTACGCAGGGAGGGTTCTACTTCTTCCAGCTGTTGGATCGGTACGCGGCGGGCTATTCGATATTGATTGCTGTGCTGTTTGAGGCGATCGCTGTTTCGTGGATCTACGGTAAGTTGTTTGAATGATTCATTGGGTGTGAATTGGTGAACCAACGTTGGGGATGGAAGTGTCGAAAATTGCTTAAAAATGTTTTATTATTTTTAGCTCATTGCTACTTCATTGTGAAAGAACGTGTTGGTAGTTTTCAAAACAATTTAATTAGTGGAAATAAACATGTAAGGGGCCACTACAATAAACTAGTCATACCAACGAGCACTTTTGAAATCAAATTTAATTATCCAAATCATTCTGTAATACACAACAGATCTGATTTTGCTGAAATTCTCTCAGAATAGCATTCGCAACTTATAGCCGGTTATTAAAGGATTCAACACGGCACCATTAATTTCAAAAGATTTAAAATAGATTACACATTCTTTGTTTAGCAACGGCAAACATACTTTTCCATAAGGTTTTTGGTCTAATTTCCGTCCTACTAAGCACAACCCCTGCTTTATCTCTCTTTTTTGAACGGGTTTAAACTAAAAATGGAATATTTCTGTCAAAGATGGCTTCTAAATTTACGTGCCGTTTTCATACGTGCCGTTGGATTTGATAAAGAGTCACAAATTGTTAAGATATTGTTTAAAATCTAATATTGCTTCTTGATTCTAAATTCGTCTTACGTGTTTCAATTCCGTCCTAACGCATTGAAACGCCATTAGATTTTCTTTGTCCTACGGATAAACGTAGAGTTTCAAGGGTATTCTGAGATGGATTTTTGTTTTAAAAATTCTGAGGAAATAGTATGGAAATTCTGAGGAGAATACGAATTGAATTTTCCATAGAATTCAGGGGAGAAGTCCAAGATATTTCTAAGCTGAAATTTATGTAACGCTCAACCAGTAACATAAAAATTTGCTGGCCATCATGTATAACGTAATCAAAAGGAAATTATTCAAATCACTTCAAGTGCTCTTCTTAGGAGATTTCGTTGAGAGTTTCGATACAATTAGAAGAATTGATGAAATGTGTTCCCAATAGTAAACCTTATTTGAGTTTCTGAGTCACCATCACTATTGGTTACTTATTTATTATTTAAAATTCACTATGTGGTCACTATTTCTTTAATTTTAGTCACTAAAGTCACTACTTTTATATCGCATCAACACTACCAGCCATGTTGTATGGAGAATTATGATAAAACCAAATAATTCAATTGTTCCTCATTATAATATTTAAAAACCAATCGATTTAGTATTGTTTGCACCCATATTTACTTTTTGTGACGAAAAAACGAGTTACATGAAAGTTGATCAACACTCCAAACAAGATGCCTCCGGTAAAATGTATAACGGCTAATTGACATTGTTTGAAAAGCATTGCTCAGCAATTTATCTATAGATTTTAAATCTGTTGATACCGAATAAGCCTTTGCTTTCAAATGGCGTCAATAGATTTACAATTTGTCAATTAATGGCGAGCTATGAATTTTCAATAATTGCTAGTTTGCCGTTACAAATTTTACCCGAGACATCGTGTTCGAAGTGTTAATCCGCCACTTCGGATACGTGAGCAGGTGAAATAAACAGCGGAGCCTCAGATAGCTCAGTCATTATAGGTGAAATTGTGTCAAACAACCTGATCGCACACAGGCTGGAGCCTATTTACGTTATGCTTACGGAGAAATGTATAAAGTAAAACACGACCGTTGGATTGGCCGCCCTACCATGGCGGAGCCCAGGTAACAATTTGATGCTTAACAAGTGTTGTTAAATCGATTTTAATTCAGACTTAGTTTGAATAATTGTTGTACATATACCACGTTAACCTTTGTCCAGCATTTAAACATCTAAATCTGGTGATTTTATTCAGCCAAAAGCTTAACAGTTATATCAGTTATAAGCTCTTTAAGCCATTAAATAACAGTCTTTTCTAACCCTTGTTCATTAAGTTTTATTAAGTAAAAATAATAATGTAAGACCGCTTCATATCTCATATATTTTTATGGGACTGCAACAAGATGCTGACTTATTGGACTTACATATTTATATTGTTATTATAAGTCTAAAAATAACTTTCGCATTTCGGGATTCGAACCGGCAGTCGCTGATTCACAGGAATCAATCATACCTACTGGACCACTTAAGCATATGTGTGGCAAAATTAAGTTGCATAACAGCAACCGGAAGAGTATTATACAGCAATGCAGAATTGTAAACAACAACTGGTGACAGTAAAACATTCCTCTCATTTTCAAGTGTAGTTAACACAATGTGGACACAAGTGCGCAATTTATTTCGATGGTCATGTGGAAGCTATTTTAGTGCCATTATTGAGTTATATTTTTGGAATTCTGTCTGAAAATTCAATGCATTATAGCAGTCAAAACACAGAAATACAAATGTTAATACTTCCGGCGTCGTCGCAGCCCACTTCTACCCCTAAAAAGCTCCTCTACCTTATCTCTACTGCTGCCGCTGCTTGGGATTAGAAAGGTAGGCAGTGAATTTAGATGAACTAAAATGCCAGAAATTCAACGAGTGACACTGACTACATTTAACAAATAAGGCTATCAACATATTTGTAGTGCATTCCTGATTTGTGGAGTAGTGTTAAGCTAAAATAAGGCTTGTTCAATCTTTAGATTAGCTAACTAATCGAGGTTGAATTATGGCGATACAATTAGCTTCATGCACTACTAATAAACTATATATTCAGCCAGCTGTTAATCAGCTTTGTACACCTTAAATCAACCAATAATCAGCTTCTGTGCTTACTGTTCAGCTTGAATTGTTACTTGCGAGGCATACGAACTATAATTTTATTTGTCAAATACAATACAAAACAGTACACAACAGAAAGAGACACTTGTGAATACTATTGTAGCGACATCTTTTTGAGAATAGATGAATCTCTTGATTTAGTAGGGTAGTTGCGCATGTACTAGACGTACATACTCCCCCTCAAAACCAACGGTTTTCCATTGATGAAACGGATATTGATGAGATGAATACTACGAATATAACACGAAGATGAGCGACAAACACGATAAATGCACATGTATCCGGCATACCCACTCGCCTTTTGGAGTAAGCATGTTCCCTGACCAAAACTGCCCTAGTCCACGGTGAGTCAGGAACGTACATGCTCAGCTAGATGGCTACATTGAAGGCCACACCATCGCAGCTGGAAGCAGGGATGCCAGATATACAGACATGTCTGCATTTATACAGACATTTGATGATGCATACAGGCTTCATACAGAGTGCATACATTATACAGACATTGGTAAAAAGTTGTAGATTTATACAGACATTAATATCCATCAGCATCAAAAAACCTGAGCAGCAAACTTCCGTTAAGAAAAGTTGCAGCAACTTGTTTATGACTGAAATAAATCCTTAAGAAGTTTTTACAACCGATATGTGACAAGCGTGCTACTAGGGAAGGGTGCCTTTTTTCCAGCAGATATTTGCTGCTACGACTACCGGGTGTCACGAGTGAGACTTCGTAGATTTCACTTGAATTTGTATTTCCAATTTGAGTATTTGTAGCCCATCATAACTCTGAAATCTCCAAGACCTCTCATAACTTTCACGACCTTATCAGTTCCCTGAATACTCTTCGAAGATCTCTGAGCCTCTCCGAAGTTCACTGAACCTATCAGTAATTCTCCAAATGTATCAGAAGTTTTTTTTTAAGTTTCGCTGCTTCTTCTTTTCATTATTCCTGACTATTCAGGAATTTCTCTGAGAAGTTCAGAGAATTTCACAACAGCTCAGAGAGCTTCATAGAAGTTTTGAGCACTCCAGGGATGTCTAGAAAGTGCTAGATGAATTCACTGAATTTGAAAGAAGGTCAGTGGACTTCAAAGAAACTCAGTGAAGTTTAGAGAAGCAGAAGTCTTAAAAACACTCAGACATCACCTTTAAGTTTTTTTTTATGAATTTCAGAGGAGTTTATTGAACTCTACAGAAGTTTGGCAAATAATGGAGAAACTTCTTGAATTGACATAAGATCAATGGACTAAAGAGAAATTCAGAGAAATTTGAACGCATACTCACTGAAATGAAGGAAATATCTAAAATATACAGGAAACATATCAGACAAGTTTGAAAGGACTTCAGAGCAGCTTAGGAACCGTAGAAAGGTTATTCAAAGACGTTCAAAGTAACCATAGTTCAAGTAGTTGAGGGGGTTCAAAGCAGTTTAGGGAATTTCCACAAACTTTAGGAAATCTTGAATTTGCTTTGGAAACCTCTATTAAGATCTGAAAAAAATCAGTAATACAGTGATACAGACGTCCAGAAAACTTATAAAAAATCAAGGAACCTCAAAAATGCTTTAAAACATAAAAGAAGTTCAGGAAACCTTTCAAAAATTAAGAGAATCAGATTGAAGTATATTATGGTTCATTTAATGAAAGTTCAGAAAATTTTAGAAAGGTTCAAGATAGGATCAGAGAGGTTCACAGAACATCTAATACCTATTGAGATATTTAAGTAGTCATATCAAATTTGGGTAGTTTTGAAGTAGCGTGTACACAACAGAAAGAGACACTTGTGATTTGACTACATGTACTACTGTAGCGACATCTGTGTGAGGATAGATGTATCTCTTGAGCTAGCAGGGTAGTTACCGACAAACTGACATGAACTTTAAACTTAACTCTTGATCGAGAATTAATAACGGCAGATTCATATGTGCAGCGATCTCATCTGTCAAAACCATAGAAATATTGAAGTAATGAAATTGGGTTGTTAGCGGAATGCTTAAATAAAACTTTCATTTGTGATTTTGACTATTTTCACCTAGAGGATGGAGAGTACTTAAGGGGGTTAGATTTTGATAAGTTCTTTAGTGGGAATGACACTGATGAAGACTGTACATTGTAGTCGAAATACGTTTCTGTTATGAATACCAAAATTAATTAGGTGGAATTAAATGGAAGATAGCCCTTTTTTGCCGTTTTACATAGAAATATGTTATCTAGATAAAAATAATTTGCCGGAATAGATTAGACCCGAACCAACTCATACAGTTTGTATGCGTGTTCGTGGCTAGGA